GCAATTGAATTCACATCTTAAAGCTTTAGAAAAGGATTTAAAAGCTTGGTAAGAATATGGAATTTATACAATCCCCGATTTGAAAATGCGATGAAATTAAATGCATATTTAATTCATTATTTTATATCTTTAGGGAAAGCACGGTGTCAAAAGTCCAGCAAGAACACTACTATTTAACATTCTTTCCTGCTCGACACATTCTTTCCTTTTATGACTATTTTAGCAACAGCAAAGGGCCTAATCGAAAAATTTGCGAAAAAACTTGCGAAACTCTCGTTAGATATGTCAATTTTGGAGCAAAATTGCCGCCAATACGAAATCCTAAAGATGCACTAAATGTTAAAAACCATCATTACAAAGTCCTTTGTGACATTGGAATAAGATTAAAGAACATTTTTGAATCTCTACCAAAACATCCTATTCCTTTCGAAGAATGTGGTGAACGTATAGTTTCTGATGTTGTATATCCCGGAAAGCTATTTGTCGCTGCATGTGGTGATCGATCTGTTATACCTAATATTATAATGTCATTATATGCTAACAGTAAATTTTATCCTAACGCGTGGCAACTCTTAATATGCACACCGTCTACAACTTCTGAGGAAATAGCAATATTTATCAAGAGATGTTCATTTGCTTCAAACAATGGATACAAAGATCATCTTTTTTGTATGGCTAATCTAGAGGCTCTTGATTATAAGTTACAATATTATGTAGTTAAACAAATACGAAGTCTTTTGGATAAAGCCAAAACTTTTTACTTGGCTTTGATTTGTTGTCAAGAATCCGGAATGCATCATCATATTTTGGATCAATTTTCCGAAGATGTTCGCTTAACCAATGGATTAAGCACTAAATCAATGAAAGAGTCGTATAGAGCAATATGCGAAAAAGTCATCTGTGTAACTTCTGATTTATCTGGACAAGGAAAAACTGAATGGATCAAACAAGAAAGTTATAGAAAAATGGTTATTCCGCGTACATTTCTTATTAATGATGGAGCTGGTTT